TTCAAATCCAACCTCAAGACACTCAGTAGCTGTGTGACCCTGGGCAAGTTACTTAACCCTACTTGCCTCAGTTATCTGTAAAATGAGCTAGAGAAGGAAATGGCAAACCACTTTGGTCTCTTTGCCAAGAAAACCCCAAATGGGGTCAAGGAGAGTCGGACACGACTGAAAAATAACTGAACAACAAGGTCCCTTAGGCGCTATCTATTCTAACCCTCTCATTTTATAGATCAGGAGCTACCGCCCAGAGGTGGCGAAGTGATTTGCCCATGGTCTCACAGGCAATTGGCAACAAGGTTACTTCCTGCTCTTAATCTTCTTGACTCTTACAACTATTCTGCATCATCTAAAGTCCTCTTCCATCCTGCACTTTATAGACATCTCACTCCAGCCAGTCTGTCTGCTATTCATCCTTTAAAAATGACAGCGTACACTGAAGGAAGGAACAAGGGGCTATAGAATGTATAACCTTCAGTTCCAGATTCAGTTCTGTTGCAAACTAACCTGGATCTCTTTGAAATAGGGACTGTGGGCAAAAACTGCAGGGAAAACTGGAAAACAGTATGGCAGAAACGAGGCATAGACCAACATCTTACACCATATACAAAGTGGATACATGATTTAAACATGCAAATTAGGAGAGCAAGGAATAGTCAGAGCTACGCAGAAGGTAAGAATTTAGGACCAGACAATAGAGAGGATTGCTAGACATAAAATGGACAATTTTGATTATATTAAATTTAAAAGGTTTTGCACCAACAAAACCAAAGCAACCAAGATTAGAAGGAAAGCAGAAAGCTGGGAAACAATTTTTACAGCCAGTGTTTCTGACAAAGGCCTTATTTCTCAAATATATGGAAAACTGAGTCAAATTTACAAGAATACAAGTCATTCCCCAATTCACAAATGGTCAAGTGGTATGAATAGGCAGTTTTCAGATGAAGAAACCAAAGCTATCTATAGGCATATGAAAAAAATGTTCTAAATCACTATTGATCAGAGAAATGCAAGTTAAAACAACTCTGAGGTACCACCTCATACCTATCAGATTGGCTAATATGACAAAAAAGGAAAATGATAAATGTTGGAGAGGATATGGGAAAACTGGGATGCTAATACACTGTTGGTGGAGTTGTGAACTGATCCAACCATTCTGAAGAGCTATCTGGAACTATGCCCAAAGGGCTATAAAACTGTGCATACCCTTTGATCCAGCAATACCACTACTAGGTCTATATTTCAGAGGAAAAAAAGGGGGAAGGACCTAGATGTACAAAAATGTTTAAAGAAGCACCACATAACTGTCAGTTTTTACTTAATTATCCTTTATTACAAAGGAGAGTTCAAGTGAAGTGAGGGAGAGCATATGGTTAAAAACAGGCATAAGTAATGGCCTAATAAAGGAATAAAACTTTTTTTTAACAAAAGTTTCGACAGGTGGGAGTTATATTGAGAAGGGAGTCAGCAAATAATTGGCAAAGAATTGGAAATTGAAGGGATGCCCAACAGGTGAGGAATGGCTGTACAAGTAAATTGTGGTATATGATTGTAATGGAATACTGTAGTACTGCAAGAAGTGATGAGTAGGATGGTTTCAGAAAAATCTGGGAAGACTTATATGAACCAATGCAAAGTGAAGTGAGCAGAACGAGAACATTGTACATAGTAAAATCAATATTGTATGATGATCTACTATGAACGACAGCTATTCTCAGCAAGACAATGACTCAAGAAAATCCCAAAGGACTTATGATGAAAAACGTCTTTGAACTCCAGAGAAAGAACTGATGGAGTCTGAATGCAGATCCAAACATACTATTTTTGACCTTTTTTTCTTGGTGATTTTTTCCTTGGGTTTTCACAACATGATTAATACAGTAATATGTTTTGCATAGTTGAAAATGTATAACCGATATCAAATTGCTTACTGTCTCAGGGAAAAGGACAGTGAGGGGGTGAAGGAGAAAATTTGGAACTCCAAATTTTAAAAAAACAAATATTAACAATTGTCTTTACATGTAACTGGGGAAAAATAAAATATTTTTTAAAAAAGGGACCATTATGGGAAGGTGCATGGCTTGGAAATCTAATCCTGCCTCTGCCACACTGTAGCTATCAATTTGAGAAAGTCACTTAATTTCCTTGACTTTTTTGGTCACCTTTAAAATGAGGAGAATGGAATAGATCATCTAAGGCCCATTTCAGCTCTTGTATTGTAGGATTCTGTTAAGTGACTTTACCTCTGGACTGGTTTGCAAAATAGGGATGTGGGGTGAGACTTGGCTTTTTTTAAGAGGGGTGAGGTAAGGAGGACAATGTGAAGGTATTCAAGGCTGGATGACCATGTCAAGAACATTGTAGAAGAAACTATTTTCCAACTATAGGCTGGACTCAATGGTCACTGAGGTAATTTACAGCTCTGAGATTCTGCAACACTACACATATTTATCTGAAATGAAATATTTATCTTAAGTGAAATCTGGAGTGTAGAAATCCCTAGGAAAGACTTGAGGCCTGGATCAGCACTTAACAGAGGAAAAAAATATGTATTTCTTTAATGGGTAAACTATAAGGTGTCCATTATTGGTTGAGCCCAAGGGAAGTCTGTTATGATAAGGGAGACTCCTAAAAGAAGGAACAGAAACCTAGAAGGACAGCTGCTGGGGTGAGGTAGGGGGAAATAGAGGGACAGTCAGGTTATAGGCAGGGAGAAAATTAGTTGTAGAGATAACAGCTCCCCATCCAAGTAGAGAAGGGTATAATTTCAACCATAAGTAATGGAATGAAGTGGTCAAGAACCCCATTCACCAAATTCTTGACCTATCATCTCCAATATCCTGAGATTAAAAAAAATGTATTTTTTCTCCATCTCATTTCAGCCACCCATGTAATTAATGAGTCTTGTTTCTATAAGACTCATTACAAGACTCTTCTCTACATTCAACTTCTAGAACTTCGTGTAATGCCAATCACCTTATGGACATTAAAATGATTTGAGAGCACATTTAAAATTACTATGAATCCAGTCTGCTCACTGAAGACTTGAAATGGTTTGGGATGGAGGATAGAGGCAAACATAAAAACCATTACAGACCAGCCTTGCTGCTTTCAAATTGAACAATGCTGCCATTGAGTTCTATGCAATGAACTCTACCTTTGTATGAAGATGAGCATTTTTAAAATGGTAGAACTATTTTTAAATTAAATGTATAAATGAAAAGGCATTTATTTTTCTTCTTTTAATGTGTCAAGTCACAGTTCAGTGAAATACTACTACTTTTCTGCAATACAAAGCCACCTTTCTAGCAAAACACCTTTGAAAAAATAAGGCACATTATTAGATAAAGCAATTCAAACAGGTTAGTTAATACAAGAAATTTGTGATTTTGTATTATAAAAAGAAATGAAGAAAATGCATTTACACAGGATTGAAAAAAATTTCTGGCAATATGAACCATTTACCAATATTAAGAATGCATCCTGCCACAGATTTGATGCCTCAAACTCTTCTTTGACTTGAATTTTAAAACTCAATTGTTGAATCATTACTTTGATTTACTAGCTTTGTTCCTTATTGCCACTGATAATAACAAAAGGAATTCTCTTCACTACTCCATTAATCAAAATTTCAAAAACAGGTACTGATCAGATCATGAAGTACAATACATTTAAGGCAGAATATTTTTGCAGGAGGGCCACTGGTAGCCTAGATTTTATACAGTGTTGGTTAATCTATAAAATGCCTTTTAGTGGATGACTATACCTCTAATAAGTGCATTCAGAAAGGCTACAAACTTTTCAACTGTAAAAGCAAAGATCTTTAGGTATGCTGAGAAAGTGCTATAGACCTGCATTTTTTTCATTATCATGCTAATCATATTCAGCTTACCAAAAGATTTTGAGATAGATTAGGACGGAATTAGATTTAGTAATTTTGAATACCATTTTTTTAAGTCAACCTCTGAGATGCAGACCATATTTAGTGCCATCAATTAGAACAATCCTGGCTTTTCCCCAGTTCCTTCTGTCTGGAATTTGTAAGATAATACAGTCACCTAGTTCAGTGTTTCTGAGCCCAAACTATACTGGAGACTTAAAACTACTGAAATTCCACTGGACGATTCCTCCCCACCAGAGCCTAAAGAAGACAGCCAACATGGGAGGAAAGAAGGTGTAGGGAGTAATAGTAGTCAATTAAATTTAGAGATTTTTTTTGCTATCAAGAGTTCTGTGGACTAGTAAAAATTTGCAAACTCCAGGATGCTGGTCCATAAACCAATGATTGGGAAACACCCTGGTAAAGGTCATTACCACTCTGGAATGGAATCTTTGGCCTATTCAGTCCTTAAGCTGTTTCTCTGCCTTTCCCCCCCCCCCCCCATCAAAAGTGATGCAGAATTTACAGTTCTTTTATCTCTTGATTTGGCTATCAGCAGTCAAAAACACAGGCTGAAAGAATCTTCTTGAGTCTGAAGTACTGTATTCATGAAATCTCATTGTACATTCCTAAAAAGTTCTATAAAGCATTTTAGAGAAATGCCAGAAGGGAAATATGTTTGAAAAATCTTAAGATACCAGTATTTTTTTTCTCTCTTGAAACTTATTGGCTAATATGATCAGCATTGTAAAAATTCTCTCTCCAAGAAGAATAAATCTGTATTGAGTTGGAAGAAGGGGAAAAGTACACAGAAGAAAGAATGTCCAATTCTGGTTTGAAGGGGAAAGGCTGTTCTTAGGTTTGCTATCAGGTCAGGTTGGGTCTTGTTCAATTTCATGATGCAAATAATTTTATCTTGGTTTCTTGGGAGAGAAATAATATTACCAAATGGAACTATTTCTCCCCCTTTTTAAAAGTACTTGAATCCAAGCTGTGGTTACTTACAAACAAGCCCTCTCAGATTCTGGAAGCCTTTACTTTTTGTCCTATTCACTACATAGTGAATCTGGCAGGTCTGTACCATAGGCTTTCTTCTAGAAGCAAAATAGTCTCTAAATGAAAATAGATGCTCAAAATAACAGTTTATTAGCTTCTCAAGGGAAAGGACCGTATCTAACTAAGATTATGTAAACTTTATGGCACCCAAAGCAGTGAGTGGTTCAATACATGTTTGATAAAACTGATTACCAGTTATGAAGTATCTTATCTTCAATTCTTAGTAAATATGAACTAAGGAGAAACAGGAAAAGAATAAGACATGTACATATACTTGTATATTATAAACTTTCATACTCCTTTTTGATTACAGTATTTACAAAGGAAATCAATGTAATAAGATATTGCAATTTTTCCAACAACAAAAGAAAAAAGTATTACTACTTAACAAAATAAACGTTAAGTTGTAGGGACTGCTATTATGTTTGAACAGTAACAGAAACTTGTCTTCTGATCAGATGATCTGTTCATTAGTTTTAGTTCCAGGCACTTGTGATTGCATATAACCCTACAGCCCTGGTCTTGGGCTCCCAGTCTTTTGCTCAGGGGAAAAAAGGCTGTAGAGCCAGCCTTCCTTCCTCAAACTCTAGCCCTGGTGTGAGTAGGAGGTCCCAAACACGTGAGCCCTCCTTATCATGGAATGTACTCCCAACAAATGATAAGTCTATCATTTGTTTACACTAATAGTGTCTGAACATATCACTATACTTAAATTACTATGTTATCATGATTTTATAGCAGTACTTTTTGCCTAAAATAAAACAGTACTGAGATGGTCCAGAGGTATTTGAACCCTGATTACTAGAAGGACTGTATGAAAATCAACTCATGGTTTTCTTGGCTATTTTGGACTACATACATTATAATAAAAAGCCACTAATTTGGCCTAACTGGGGAGAAGGGCAATCTAATGTAAACTTAACATTTCTAAAATAGTTTTACTGTTTAAGTGTATATAATAGAGCTAAAAGCAGTACTATTTGATATTTAAAAACAGCTGTCAAATTGTGATTAGTGCATTTTTGTAAAATGGCTAATGCTAAAGTGCTTTAAAAAAACATGTTTCCTTTAAGTAGGTCAAACCTTGCATAGCTTCAAAATTTGCTTAGGCATTCCTCTTTTTTTAGATTCCACAAAAGTAAATAAACTTCAGTCCAACTCTATCTTAATGACCACAAATTCCAAATTAATGAGGTCTTACTCCTTCCCCAAAGCAGCACTCCAACTGCTAAGCAAATCCTACTTCCCACTGACTTTCATTATTACATCAGAGATGGGAAAAATCCCTTAGAAGTATACCAAACTGAAAATTGATGATAAAAGTGAAGATATGCCAATTCTGTGACACAATGGACAATATAATCTAGAAATAGCATTCATTTTCTGGGCTTTGTTATCTCATTATGGCTTTTGTCCCACTTCTATCCCTCACCTCCAAATCCCCTTTTCTCTTATCCATGAATTCACAATACTTAATAGGACTGGGGTGTACAATGTGACACTCCCCTAGTGGGTAGGAGCTGTTATTTAATTATGGATGTACTGCAACCAAAATCTGGCAATGTAAAAGTACTGAATGTTCAAGAGCAATTCTGTGAGTTTGAAATTCTATAGAAAAATTACTACAAATAAATGATGCCTCTATATTACGTGATGCTCATAAAATTAAGTATAAGGTATTAGAACTACTTCCTCTACTAGAATGCAATCAAGGCTGTCAGTGTGACTCCAAAAAACAGGAAGACAAGATTAGTGTTAAATATTTGACTACCTCTATAACAGAGGTTAAATTGAGGGCGAGACAAGGAACATGTTCAGAATTGGTTAATCAAAGCTGTGAGAATTAGACTTTCCAGAGTATGCTTAAGAACACACAAACTAACATTTTCAAAAATGCATTCTCAAATTTTGAAATAATCTGGTAAATTGCACACAAAAAAAGTTTTAATTTTATAATAATAACTAAACTTTATGGATTAGAGAAAACTTATTTCAACATAAAAATGTGTAGTTTTTTGGTAAAAAAATAACAGACTTAAAAATTATAGCTTAAATATAATAACACAGCTATGAGAATTAGAAAGACAGAAACTCATTTCAAAATAGAGTGAATTCTAGGTATTATTGAGGAATTGGTTATTTGGACCCTGGCCTCCACTTCACCCTGCTAGTTGCTTTGCCTTCTGGACACATCAGTCAACCGCTAGTATTATCTGCCAGAGGGAAGGCAGCGAAAAGAACGTCAAACTATCAACTATTAATTCATGTAAGAAGTTTGATGTGAGAGAAGATCAAAACTAATAACCCAAACCATCATTTTTCAGCCATCTGTTGATTCCATTTACCAAAGATGATTATAAACTGGCCATATATGTCACATATACAGGGAGTACTCCCAAATTCATACAGAACCATATAATTTTGTTCCAACCCACTTTGTCACAGATCTGTACTACCAACAAGGAAACCAATCATTTTTCTGGTTGTGTCCATTCTTACCTGAAAAAACTTATGTGACTAGTCTCATCTCCCTAGATGGGAAGACATGCTTCCATATAAAATACTACAGTTGCATTAACCATCAAAGAGCACATATAGAAATGTGTCATTTTTAGCCATAAGGTAATTAGGAAATAATAATCTTAATTATTACTGAATATTCTATTTTAATGGTACAATGGCCATAGTAAGATATCAAAGTCCAGAAAATAAATGCTTTGGGCATCACAACCAACCAAGAATCTACTTCTAAATGCTTTTAGACTGTTTAGACAGTTTGGGGCATTCACCTGACAGTTCTTTCTGGTTCACCACATGTATTCTTTTTCCTTCTTTCTGTCCCATTTGTATTACCTTAACCAGTACTTTATATCAAAGCACATTACATCTTTAATGCTCTCCAGTAAACTTTCCAATACAAAAAAAGTGTATGTAATAATTATATTATTCGGTATAATATTGCCAAATAAAGTGAGAGGCAGCTTGGTTAGTGGGAAACAACACTGGACTGGGAGTTGGAAGAGCTAGGGTCTAGTCCCTGGCTCTGCCATGCAAGTTGCTTAATGCCCAAGTGGGAATATTATTCATTTCTGCTTCTTAATATGACTGTGGGGAGAACTAAATGCAATCACGGGAAGGCATATTCTTAAGTGCTACATAAACATACAGCAGTACTATTACTTCATGACATATGTGCACTGAACATACAACCCCAAGATTGTAATGTTTATCTTAATTTTCCTTTAAAAAATACAATTAATGTAAGAATCTAGCACAGGATATAAATAAAATAAGATAATTTTAATTTGGCATTATGAAGGTTTCAATTTTCATCAATCACTTTTGCCTTCTCATTTTACTAGAGGCAAAAATATTCCTGCAACTTTTCATGTATTCTGGTTTCTCCATACTGAAAACTATTAAATACTCCCTTATATGGAGCAAAGTAATTTACCTACTAGGAATCTTTCTTGTTTAAAATGGGAAAGGGAAAAAAATGGAAGACGGTTATGAACTCAGATTATGATTAGGAATTTATTTGCTTTACTAGCACTGTTAAAAGCACACTGTAAGATTCCTTGCATAGTATAGTATACATAAATAAGGCTACAGGCTGTGGGAGCACCAGATCTGGGATAAGCTGCCCTGTATCCTTGTCAAGCTGAAGGCACTATATACACAGCCACAAATAAGAGGTAGAATAAGATGAAATGAGGATACCAGCAGCAATCTAATAAGGAAGCAGGAATGCAGGTTCTCAAAGCCTAGACATAAATCATAGTCTTCAAACTTCTACCAGTATGAAGGTCCCAAAGGGCACAAGGGGTGATAGGTCCCATAAAATCATTTGAGAATCTACATGAATAGATTTTACATGAAGGTGGAATAATCCTAAGGTTGTGGTGCAGTGGGGTGGGACACGAATATGGCCGATAATTCTAACACTGGGTTTTTGCTTCCATTTCCAGCCCAACATCTCCCCCAAGATTATAACAGTCACAGTTTATCGTGGTAGTGGCACCTCAGAATAAACCGCTTTGCTACATGCCATTTCTCACATACAAAAAGAAGCAGGCTACTGATCACAATGCCTTTTATAACAGATCTGAAATGGCAGTTCTGTGCAAACTATGTATTCAAAGAATCCATATATGGAACGAAATTAATTCCTGCTGAATAAATTGGCACAACGCAAGGTGTGTCCAGATCATCTCCAGTTGAGCCATGAGTGATGAAAATGAGGTTATGAATCTCAAATTCTCAAAATCTCTTACTGCTTTTTCAACAACCTCAAGTTGTAGCACTGGTTTTTCTAACCACTTCCATCCAGTCTTCGTGTTTTAATCACACTTCTCTAAACCTTCTCATCCAAGAAGAACCTTCTGCATCCTGTGGGCAGCAACACTAGCCTCATCTTCTGAGTCAGACTCACTCTGGGACGTAGAGCTGTGAGAAGCCGAGCTGCACGGGGAGGAACACTCTGGAGAGCACAGGTAGTGCATCAGCGGGAGCCGGTACTTCCCACAAAAGTCCACAAATTTGATTTGTCTAACACAGCAATCAAAATAGACACCTGCGGGGAGGAATACAAAGCAATCATTAAGTGAATTATGGTTTGCTTTGAAAAATGTCCCCTGGTGGTCCAGGAAGCTGCTTCTGCTGTGAAACATGAGCACAAGAAACATTTTTTCTCCCGTCAATAACTGAAAACAAGGTATTTCCTTGTAAGTACCAGTTATATCTGTTAGACCAAATTTTTAATAAGTGGGTACTATGTACAGAATCCTGGACTAGGCTATGGGGAGACACAAATTTTAGCTGTTCCTCCTCCTATGGATGACGGCAATAGCTAGCATTCATACAGCATTTTAAGGTTTGCAAAGTGCTTTTACATGTTATCTCATCTGATCCTCACAACCAGTATATGAAGTTGGAGCAATCTAATACACCTGTGTAGCATTCTTGTAGCTACCAAGTATCAAAGAAAAAAAATTACTATAAATATCAGTTTTACTCTTTCACTTTAGTGCTTCTTATGCTATAGCAAAAAATAGCATAGCACAATGGCAGATTTAAAGAAATTACTAAAGTCAGAAAAAGGAGTGGTGATGGGGAGTTTTCTAGACAAGAATGGATTCAAAAAGAGATTTAGGATTTTAAGCAAGCAAAGGCACTAAAAACCCTAAATTGAGAATGGTACTAGCCCTGGAAGAGCTTGAGTTTCCTACTTCTTTTTTTTTTTTCATCTGCCTTTATTCCACCTTCATCCCCAGCCCAATGCCTTTCCTTTTTATTCCTGCCTCCTTATGTTTTTCTGGTGTTTTGGAGATGAACTGGCCATGCAGAATGACCAAAGCACAGATAAACAACCAAGGTGCTATACTGGTATTCACAAAATATCAAAAGGCAAAGGAAGGTCTTTGGTGCAATCACTTCAGAAGATTTGGGGAGTGTATGGGCAAGAACCAAACAGGATGAAAAGATATGAAGAGAGTACCCACACTGATAATGAACTCACACACCCACCAATGTACTGAGGAATGAATGACACCTACAATTTTAAAACAAAATATTATCTGCAATAGCTTAGGTTCTTTAGGAGTAGTGATAAATTCAAGAGACAGAAGCAGTACGCTGAAGCTATAATTACAAACATGACAAATGAGCTGATAAAATGAGTGGAGGAATAAAACAAAGCCTTCTCGAGCACTCCATATCTTCTGGGTGAATAACAGCATGAAACTACTATCATTTCTCCTAGGTTCAATTTATTTCAACACTTTTTTATTAAGTGATTATTACATGTTAAATTGCTATTCTAGGTGGTATATGACCTAAGAATATATCCAGTATTAAAATAAAGGCATTCTAGAAAATGTATTGCCTTCCTTTTTGTAACTCTTAGTTCAGTAGTCAGGAATAAAAATGTCCACTAGTTGTTGTTCTCAACAAACCCTTCCCTAATTGTAGAAAAATACATCTTTATCCTTAATGTATTCTTGTTCTTGGAATAAATGAGACAAATGTACTAAAGAGGCTTTTAAAGGAAATCCCTTAAGGTACAAAAGAGGGCATTAAGGGTTGTCTGGTAGGGGGAATAAAAGGGGCAGAATATACGTAGGATTTGAAGCAAGTAATTCCTTGGTGATGTCTTGCATATTTGTTTGCCATTTCAAAGAAAGAGATATTAGTAAGGCTCAAGTGACAGCTATTTTTTCAGTGGCACATCATCTCTTTCCCAGCTTTTAAGGATACTATGTGTAAGAAAGTGCATGCATGTGCGTGTGTGTGTGTGTGTGTGTGCGCGCGCACGCGCGGGTGTGTGTGTGTGTGTGTGTGTGTGTGTGGCATGTGTCTAACTGTACTTTTTGAGTGGTCTCTATATTTTTTCCATTGTATTCCATATATTTTTTCCATTCTTTTATGGCAGTAGCAAAAGGAAATGGGACTTCCTGATGAGGCTTAACAGGCTCTAATTACTAAGTGTTCCCCCAATAAGTATGCACATAAATTATTTCCTTTAATATATATAGTATTAAACAGTATAAAGTATAGTTAAACTTTAATAGCTGAAAACAAATCAAAATTTCCAATTAATTGTAAACTTTTAACTATTTTAAAGATAAGAGTTTTGTGACAATAAGCAAGGATTAAACGAAAATACAAATAAGCTTTTAGAACAGGTCCTGCAGTCAATTAGTAGACATTCAAGCCAATCTCCTATACTGGGAGTTCTTAATCTCTTGTGTCATGGATCCCTTTGACAGTCTGCTGAAATCTAGGGACCTCTTCTTAGGATGTTTTTAAATGTATATAATACATTGGATTACAAAGGAAACCCATTAAAATGAAATTATCAAAATATTAAAATAAAGGCAAGTTCACAAATGCCAAGTTAAGAAGAACCTCTATTCTCCACCTTCTATGCGACTTGTAGACGGTACCAAATGCCACTCGAATGGTGTTGGCTAGCACATATTCCAATCAAAGTAAAATAATTAAATTCTTAAACTATAGAAAGTTACAGAAAAGTTTCAAAATACATTAAGGAATAGAATACTTTATTTCAGGACATAGACACAATCTTGCTCACTGGAAAGTTGAGCATGCAAACAATGACTAATAACATACAGTAAAAAAAAATCACCTTTCTAGCAAATATGAAAGACACTTTCATCAACTAAACGGTGCTTTGTGCACTAAATACGAGGGCAAATGGATAACGAGTCACAAGTAGGAAATATGAACAAACTTACCTCCGCACTTTGGGTTTGGGCAATTGCTGGCTAAATCCAAGTATCGAACAAGGTTTCCAGGAAGGTCACAAGGAGTGTAGGAAATATTTCGGGTTTTAATGGTCCGACCAGCCAATTCCAGGAGACTTGGAGGGTCATAGGTTAAATCTCTGACAAAACGAACCACCAAGGGATTACCTCGCAAACTCAACTCTTGCAAATGAACTAGGCTAAGGATCTCCCGAGGCAGGTATGTCAGGAGATTATTATGGAGGCTAAGGGAACGAAGAGAATTCAACCTATAATGAATAAAATATCAAATTACTGATAGGAAAATATATTAGCAAGAAATATTCAACAGGTAAAGAATGAGGAATACAGTCACTTTATATTTTAAAAAATCTTTAAATATGTGCACATGTCAATTCTGTCCTATTTTTAAGAATATGGAAAGTAAAACCAATGTTGTTAGGGATAAGATGCTGCTGGAACGAGGAAGTGTGAGCTAACCACAACAATTCCCAAAATCACAGCAAGAAAGCTGTGGTGCAGACCTGGGAAAATGTGGGTTAATTTTATCCCAGGTGTATTGATCTAAGACTAACTTAGCTCAAGCCCTTTGGGAAAAGAACATAAAAGTTATTTTTGGCCAGGGCCTCCTAGTCCAGTGCTTCTGACCTTACTGCCAGCAGTTGTTTTAATTTGTATTCACCTCCCTGTGTTTTGGCTTAATTGCTTTGAGAACTGCTTCTGCCTGAGGGTATTAGATCGTGATTTCAGTAAAATGGCTTTTTAGGAGCTATTGGGCTCTGACCGATCCACTGACTAAATGTGTAATAGTGACCTGGACAGAGAAAACTGTGAAAGCTTAATGGTGTGGTATAAGGAACCACGGGAAAATCCGTGCCTGTAGTTCCTCTGTGCAATTAAAAACAAAACAAAACAAAACAGAAACACAGTAAGATAGTAAACACTAAGACAAAAAACAGATCTTTACCGAACTGAATTTACTTTCTAGATAGGATTACAAAGGAAGCCAATTATAATGAAATGAAATTATCAAAATATTAAAATAAAGGCAAGTTCACAAATGCCAAGTTAAGAAGAACCTCTATTCTCTACCTTCTATGTGACTTGTAGATGGTACCAAATGCCACTCGAACGGTGTTGGCTAGCACATAATATTTCACACCAAGAGTTTCTATAAACTCTGACAGGCCAGAGTTAGGTTAGCTCATTGTTTTATCAATTAAAGGCAGAATCACTGAAAGTTCACAAAAATTAAGGAATCTCGGATGTTCTCAAGTGCGTCCTAGTTCCAAAGTAGGGAATATATATTAAAGGAGGAAGAAAAAACTCCTCAGAATAGCCAGGTTCTAGCCCTGATTCTGCCAGTTCATGGTTACTTGATTTTAGGTAATTCCTTTAACCTCTGAGACAAGTTTAGTTTTCTCATTTGTAAAGTGAAAACAGTCTTGCAACACTCAAATGCAACAGTGCATGTTGAAGTGCTTTGGAAATTGCAAAGGATTACACAAACATATGGAGATGTCAAATTTTATCTTCCATTTCTATTTCGCCTCAAACAGACTAAATAATAAGGTTGTTCAGGAAAAAGTCACACTTAAAGGATCATACAGTTTAGACCAGGAAAGACCTTCTAACTCCCTCATTTAATAAATTCAAGAAAGAGGTCCAGAGAGGTTGATTTGTTCAAGGTCACACAGTCAGTAAGTAGCAGAGATGGGATTCCAACACAGGTCCTCTATAATAGGTTAAACAGCAATTTCCTTCCTTAGCAGGTACTAATTTAACTACACATCCTAGAGACATAATTCTTATGCACTTTATGAACTGTTAGCCCATACTTACACAGGTAACCTATTGGTAAGAAAACAAAAAAAGTAACCTTTTGTAATGTTAAGACATTTGAATATATTTAAAGTATCGTGCAGCTACTCACTGGGCTAGCTGAGGAGGCACACTTTGAATCTTGTTGTCACACAACACCAAATAATTTAGAGAAGGCAGGTTTGCTAATTCAGGTGGGATCTCCTTGATGAAATTCCCTCCGAGGTACAAAAACTCTAAGCTGCAAAAAAGAAAAGAAAACTTGATCTAACACTCTGTTCAAACTCCTATCACACAGCTGCATCAGGAATACTGAAAGATAAAAGGTAACCCTTCTTCACTCAAGAAGTGTATGATCTGTCAGGGAAGACAAGGCACAGACATAAGAAATATTCAATCATGAGACAATATAACAAGAGAGCAATGCAGAAGCTAACACAAAACAGTGCATACATGGAGGGAAGGTTCAGAGGAGGGCCAAGACAGCCCGGGCTAGTCTATGCGGCAAGACTGCCACACTCCCAGGGCTCCAGTCCCTCTTCTGCTATTTACCAGCCAGCTGCTTAGATACCCTGTCATTTCACTTATGAGCTTTGCTTTCCTCATTTGTAAAATGGGGGAAATATTTGCCTTACTTATAACACAGTTTGGTTACAAAGGAAGTGCTCTGTAAACTCCAAAGCGCTGTATCAATTTGAACCAATGTTATCTTTACTGTAGAATGGTATGGTCATTAAAGGATTAAGAGATGAGGTGAAACATGAGATACACTTTGAAAGAGGGGTAGGACTTAAGCGGGAAGAAAGAGGTACTCCAGGTTAGAGGATGGTATGTTCACAGAATTCAGAGCTCAAAGATTTCTTAGAGATTGTCTTGTCTAACCTCCTCATTTTACAGAAGCCCAAATAGCTTAAAAAGTTTACTCAATGTCACATTAGTCCTCCTGGCCCAGTAAGAATTTGAACCCAGCCTTCTGATCCCAAATCCAGTTACACCATGCTGTTTAGAACAGAACATTTTAGTTGTAATGTGGACTTTGTGACGAGGAGCTGAATACAAGATATGAAAGGGAGAAAGGTAGGCTTGATAGATGGTAGAAAACCTTGAATGCTAAGCTAAAGATGTTAGACTTGAGGCTTTAAGCAATGAGAAACAGTTAAGGATTTCTTAATAGGAGAATGACATAATGAAAATGTTTAAATAATCCATCTTGGAGTCTGGGTTCCCCTTTGCAGCCAATCAGTAAAATTACATTCCAATTGGTTATTACAGTGAAATTAGACACAGTATATGTTTTGTTACAAAATGTAACTGTACAACTCAAGAGTGTTGCCAGCATCAGTGAGGAGGCCTCTCCAGAAGATCCCTTGTGGATCTGGCAGTGATACCCCTCTCTACTCTAAAACAACTAATTTTTGCTTACCTACCAATAAAATGACCAATATTTCTTTCTTTTAAAATCTGCACACTCCCTAGTCACCAATTTTCTACCAAGAAAATCTTAGAAAGGTGGAAAAAATCCAAAATGATTAACTGGGATCAATTTTAGGCAGAAATTGTAAAGCCCTCCACATGGCTCAGCTGTTGCAAGGTTATAGTTTGTGTCTTTAAAAAAGCTTCATATGGGACAGCTAGGTGGCGCAGTGGATAGAGCACTGGCCCTGGAATTAGGAGAACCCTAGTTCAAATGCGGCCTCAGACACGTATCACTCACCAGCTGTGTGACCTTGAGCAAGTCACTTAACCCTGACTGCCTTGCCCCCCCCAAAACCCCCCCCAAAAAACCAGCTTCATCTCTCTATAAAGCAAAATTTTTTAAAAGCACAAATTTCCTCTTTTGTGACAAAAAAATCTCTTTGAGACTAGGGGTCTGTCTTAAACTATACTGAAATCAGCTACTTTATCCCACAAAACTACAGGATACAACCGTCATAATGTCTTCAATTCTTTTTTTTTTCCAAGTGAACAAGTATTTATTAAAGAGCCTACCAGGTGCTAGGCACTGAGGATACAAAAAAGGCAAGCAGTCTTTGCCCTCAACTGAGTTCACAATCTAATGGGAGAGAGAACATGCAAACAACTACGTACAAACAAGACATATATAGGATAAATTGGGAAATGATCTCAGAGAGAAGGCACTAACCAGCATTAACTTCCGTCTCTATTAAAATAACATATTAAGGATAAAAAATCCAGAAAGACAAAGAGTTTTAACTTACCCTAACCATAATATTTCACCAAAAGCCTAGTTTAAAAAACACAAAGCTATAAAATCTCATGGACATGTCCTTTCTCATCACATCCTTTCTAAGCCTCTGTTTCCCACTGATGCTGGGTTTCATCCTGTCACTTTGATCAGGATCCTGAAACTCATGGACTTTCTACATTGTCTAATAGTGCCCAAACCTGGAGCAGCTAGCAGCATATGGAGAGGCCTGAGATATGCCTTCACTCATATAAACTAACCAGCTTCAACCACCCTATAACAGAGAGGCTAAAAACAAGAAGAGCCACAGTAGGGAAAAGAAATCAGTGGTAATGACAGCCTTAAGAACAGACATGGGGGATGGGAGGGGTGCGGGGTTGGGAAATTAACTGCCCAGATTATGGCAAGAATGTACATACTCTAATGGGATCAAAATACTATGTTTGAGGATCTCTGGCCTGCCGATAATCATAGCCCTCTTCTGACTTAAAGTGGAGAGGGGGAAGCTGCATGTCCATGGAGTAATCTGGGAGATATTTTACATGGGGGTGGGGGTGGGAGATGGGTCTGTGGTTTCATGGGATAGTATTATGGAACACTAGTATTATTTCCAAAGGTGGTATCCAAGTCACTGGCAGGGTAGGGATATGCTAGAACATCTGGTGCTGATAAGAGCCCTCACCACCATTCTGTACAGTTTCTAGAAGGATTCACCATGTAGTCCTGGTGAAATGAACAGAGGCTTATGCACTTGCCAACAGCTGATCCATTCTGAACCATACTGTTGCCATTCTTTGACCACATGGTATCTTTCTGCTATCCCTTTGACTTCATTCTCTGGTTCTGAAAACAGTTCTTTATTTATTTCTAAGTAAAGTTCAAATTCTCAGCCACATTTTGGATCTGCTGTGGGCTATAGTATTTTTGCTCCATGAATCTACTGTTAAGTACATCCAATCAGAGGCAGCTAGGTGGCACAGAGGACAGAGCACCAGCCCTGGAGTCAGGAGGACCTGAGTTCAAATCCAGCCTCAGACACATAACACTTACTAGCTGTGACTCTGGGCAAGTCACTTAACCCCAACTGCTTCACCAAAAAGAAAAAAAAAAAGAAATAAGTACATTCAATCAAGCCTGAGAAAACATTGTCCTCATCTTAGGTTTTTTGACCAGATTCTGATCTTTTCACTGATGGATCTTGAGTTTGTTAGGTAAGGAAAAAGTTATCTGAAGGAGAACTAGTGGCAGAGTCAGGAGTATCTTGATAAACATATCCATACATGAAAGAAGAAAGAGGAACAATAGAAACTGTGCTTGGCTGGAGCTTTTCCATACTTTGTATATGGAAATTCAAGTATAAATCTGGGAAGGTAAATGGCACTCTCTGGGCTGGAAGGGCAGCTCCTGTGGCTCTCCTGCCAGCACAACCAGTATTTCTGAGTGAGGACTGGAGCTCATGTTTGAGGTGAGATGCTCAAGAGAAAGGGTCCAACCAGGGCAGTCACAGGAAATCCAGGAGCAAAAGCCTTGAGTGTGTGGTGGGCAAAGTACTTGGCAAAATATGGAATGCTCCACAAACCCCAAGTGTTTTAGATAGAAACTAATCTAGAATGACAGTACAGCTGTTCCTAGCATAGGAACAGAGGCCTAATCTGGAGGGTATGACTGTTCTTTGAGAAATAGAACAATAAATATTCCTTTTAGGGGAAACACACACCAATATGGCTGGAAGGGGCCTTAGAGATAGACCATCTTACTCGATTCCCTAATTTTAGAGATGTGTAAACTGAGGCCTGGGGAAATGACCCACTTGCCCCAATCGACCAGCTAGTTAGCCAACTCCCATTCCCAAACTCCTAATCCAGGGCTCCAGTGTCCCAGGAGAGTACACAGGGTAGCTAAACATCAGCCTCTGTGGGGTCTAATTCCAGTGCTAAAAAGGACAAAACAACTATGGAACGTTATCTCAGCAAATGCACTATACAGACCTGTCATAAAAATTCAATGCTTTTCAAGTAATTTAAGGGAGAGAGAGTGTAAGTAAAGTGAATTTTAGTGTGTGTGCAAAGTGGCTTTTTTGTTATTCTTTCTTAGAGTTTTCTTCCCAGGATCCATAGCCATAACAATCTCTACTTCCCAGGTGTTAGATATGAGCTCTCACGATCATGGTTCAAAACAGTTTCTACCACACTTGCGCAGCAGATTACAGCGATGAAGTGATGTAAAATTGTGAGGCTATTGCTGGCAATGTGCATTCTTTGTCTGTTTCCCTATAAAGCAAGCAGGCACTGGTCAGTGACTGGGGACCCCCATGGGGTGAATACGCAGGCTGAATGCTGTGTGTGCCTTGATCGGCCCCCATTAAGGCTTTGGAGGGGGAATCTGTGTGTTTGCCTCAACCGGCCCCCACTGAAGCTTGAGGGATTTACAGGAGTGTCCAAGTTGTGCTGGTCTCTATTGACTCCATCGAGACAAGGTGTAGTTGCGCCCCCTTCACGCCAGCCCCTGCGAGAAGGGTTATTAGGGAATGCTGTAGGAGTTGGTGCTCCCATTATCAGCAAACTCTCTTTGAGAAGACTAGACTAGAATAAAGTAAGCTTATTTAACCCCTTATTATCACTCCACTCCTGTCTTCCTATCTTACCAGATCAAAAGTGAACCTGCTAGTGAGAGATGTGCTAGAAGCCCTCCTGCATCTCATCTTCCTAAGAAATGGTGGAGTCGGTGTGTTCACTCGTTCAACAGGGAGTTAAGGCCCCTCCAGGATTAAAGTGGGTTAAACATTAGAGGATCTGAGAATTAAGTGCTAATAATCTTTTTAACTAATAATTCAATATATGATCAAAATCTCCACCAGGGTAAGTCCAAAATAACTAAAATCTTGGTGAGATTTCCCTTTCCCCCCATCAAAAGCTTTTTCTGATAACTCCCATTTTGAGTCTATTAACTTTGATGTTAAGGTCTGAAATAGAATTCAACTGGCAGAATGAGAAATCATTTTTCCACTGATTTTCATTATAATTTTAGTGGAAGTC